ACAAGAAAATCCACTAACCCAAAGATCTCCTAATCTCCTACTACTCTCCTAAATACTCTCCTCACAATATAACTCAATTCCACACCAAAAAACCATGAAAACATATCTTACTCAATCCTCCAACAAACCTTGCCTCCCCCTTTCCTCTATACCTCCAATAGGTTGTATAAACTCCTCATGAAAACTCATTTTTTAGCTGAGTAACTCCCTACAAACTAAGATCGAACTTCTAAAAACTACCTCCAGCAGTTGTTGGCGCTTAAGTGCTAAGGGTTTGGCACCTAGGTACAGGCTCTCTATTTGCAAAAATCAACAAGGGTGCCTTGACACCCATGGTTTTGGTGCTTAGGTACTAGTAGGGTAGCGCCTTGGTGCTCAATATCTTGGGTTGTCAGGGCAATGCTGGCAGCTAGGCACCTAAGCGCCAATCTTTTGTGATCTCCTTAACTCTAAGTCTCCACAACTTTGCTCCATTTTTAATACTTCTTATACCTGTAAGAAAAATATAAAAATACATTTCTTTAAAGTGCAATTTCATCCATAAAAAAATATAAAAAGTAGTAAGGAATAAAAGCATTCCTTTCTATACAACGGGGAGCTTAGAGAAGTCTTGAAAATGCTCTTTAAATCCACTGTGAGGTTTTTAGTGCTTGGGAATAGCTTGGCCAGTGACTTTGGGCAGAGAAATGGAGCTTTCCCTCCTTATGATTTTTCAGGCATGTGAGCTCTATTGGACATGGATATGGCGTGGGAGGAAATTTTGAGTGATTGGGGAGAGCCTGATTTGGGTGGCCAAGCTCAAATTTGCTCTGGCTTTGACTCTCCATTAGTTGATTTTGGTTTGTGTTGACCTGGCTAACACTTGTTATTTCTTTGGATTTTAGTAACATGGATTTTGTCCTTAGTTTTTTGTCATTCTTTAATAAATTTTCACTTCATTTGGTTTTCTAGAAGGGTTATGATTTCAAGGTTTGGCTTTAGGGTTATGGGGTTTGGTTTTGGATTTTCGGTTATATGCCTTTGGACTTGACTTTTGGGTCATGAACTTTAGGATTTGGGCTTGGGGAATTTGATGTTTGATGTTAGGTTTAGTTTTTTTTTTTTGGCTCTTAAACTTTAATTTGGATAATTAAATATTAATTGAATTTAATTTATTTTGGGTGCACTGATTTGTGTTAATTCTATTTTGGTATTTCATTAATTTTGGTGGTTTTTAAATTAATGTTTCTAATGTTAATTGGTTTTATTGGTGATTTAATTTTTTTTTAGTTTTATTTTGGTGAGTTAATTTATTTTTTATTTATTTTGATGACTTAATTTTTATTTGGTTTAATTTTGATGAAATTTACAATGTTGATTTTAGGCTTCCATTAGGAGGTAAGACTTAATTTGACCTGAAATTAGCCTCATACACAATGGGCCTTTTCTAGACCACAAGGAGGTCCAAGGCTTTGAAGGTGCGAAGACGGCTACCAAAAGGAAACCTAAGCATCAAAGGTAAGAGGATTTCCTAGGGCTTTTTCCATCCTATAAGAGCTCAACTTGGGCTTTAATGCATTAACCTTAATCATCTTAAACAAAATTTAAGGATATAAGGTTTAGCATATGAAACCCTAGGGAGTGAAGACTTGTTTGGAATTCTATATTGGTTTTGGTTCCACTATTATTCATCTAAGAGAGCCACTAGAAAAACCCTATGAAGATGATAGACGTCTTTCAAAAATGAGGTCAATAAGCATCACATGTTATGTTTCACACTTCAAATACACATGGAGAAGAAAATGTACACATGCAAGAATGTGCTTAATCTCACTTGATGGCATGCAAATCAATATTTTCCTAAATTATCTCTCTTGAGTCTAGGCTCGAGTATGGAGAGGTGTACCAAAATTTTGTTGCATGTGGCAAAAAAATGGATGCCTCCATTTGCATGGCATATCATGAAGGATTTTTAATAAAGAGAAACCTTCAAAGTTTAATAGCTTCAAATGTCCATTCAAATGAAGTTTAATCACTGTAATTGTCAATTGATTACAAGATAGGCTAGCGACACTCGACCTGTCATGTAATCAATTGGCAATTACCTTTGTTAAACTTGTTTCAAGCAATTATTTTATCAAATAGATTAGATTAGAGGCTTATCTCACATTTGCAACTTCATAAAAAGAAATTAAAAACCAAAAATGACTTTTTCAAAACTTTCACTTTATTATTATGACTTAGAGTCTTTAAACTAGCACATTAATGTTAATTTGCATTCACATTAATTCCTCATAGAAATGAAATTGGACTCATTGCAATTACATTACTTATGACACATGCACTTATTAGAGCCAGCACAAAGTCTGGTCATGGTTAATGCAAAAGTCATAATAAGAATGGTAATTAAAGATTTCTTACGGGTGCATTATGCAAATAAATTTAAAAATATTTAACTTATCACATTGTAAAGAATTTTCATTAATTATATACCTCTAGAGATCACATTCTCGCACGGACCCCCGAAGGAAACTAGTTTCAAAGGGAGTGACTTTTGAACAAAAACATTGCTTAACTTCTTCCCCAACCAGATCAATCCTTCCCTTAGGGGAAAAAAAGCTTTTTTTGGATTTAATTTGCTCAAATTATTTGTTCGGGCATGCCCATCCAGTGCATAGTCATCACCCATGTGTTGTTGAATGTGAAATTAACAATAAAATGGTTTTCAATTCATTCTTAATTATATTAATACTATTAAATGTTAATGAATATCATGTCTTTTGACCCACATCTTATTTGTAAAGGCAAAGATAGGCCACTTGTTTCTCTAAAGTCTGTCTAAATTAAATTTGATGCAAGCAGTCCTTCTATAGGCACCTAGCCGATGAAGGTGGAGCCTCCATTAGAGCCAGCGAATTAATGGTTGGGATCTCAATAGTAGCCAACTCATGAGATGTAGTTGTTGTCCCTTTGGAATGATCAACTTTTTCTCTTTTAAGAGTTGCATTCCCTTTTCCGCTTCACAAATTATCACCCAATGAGTTTGGTTGTCGGGATGGTGACTTTTTCTGAATTGTTCTCTATCACGGATGTTGAAAAGTGAGACTTAAAAGTAGAAAACACCAAAGAGAAAAAGAGAAGAACATGGAGAGATGATCCCAATATGCGCTTCTTTCATCAATATTTATAAGAATGGAAGAGCACAAAATTTAAGGGAGCTAGCAAAAAAAATAAAAAAATTAGTTAAATATATTGGTTATATTGTAACATTAATTATTATTATTATTATTATACTTTTATTATTTTAACAGTGGTTATATTGTAACATTAATTATTATTATTATTATACTTTTATTATTTTAACAAATCCATTATTAAAAGGATAAGAGAATCAAATAACTAAATGTATATAGCCAAAATTCCGTAGATTTAGTTTAGAGCAGGTATGAGATATGAAGAGAGATAACTCACCAAACAAGTTAGAAATTCGGCCAGAACAAATCAACTTATCGATCGACTCAATTTGGAAGATAATAGCATGCATATGGTGATTTGTACACAAATGTCCGATCAAACTAAGTTAACTCAATAATTCATCATGGAATCCCAAGTTGTCCCATTTTCGAATTGGCAGTGGGCTCCATTAGATCTATCACCTAAGAAGATCAATTTTCCCAACGACCAAGTTGATCGATAGAAGCATCACCGGCAAGCCACGTTTGATGCAAAACATTTTATAAGAAGTAATTATACATGCACGAATACATGTATATAACATTAAATATAATGCCCTCGCCAAAATAAGATTAGAGAAATAGACCAATGATCGCTCCAAATCTGAATGTAATGAGTACTTAGTTTATAATGTATGAGCGAGCCCCTCTAGAAATTTGGGTAACCATTATATTGATTCATATTATTTATTTATTTATATTGATTCATAAATCAAATGAGACATAACCTATAATATTTATGTCATATGTTTGAAAAGTACCAAATATGGTTGTAAATGAATCGTTGCGCTTGTTGAACAGATTAAGCTTGGCTCGATTAACTTTGTTTGTTTAAAGTAGTAAATACATTGAAAAAAAAAAAACTCAAAACTCAAAGTTTAAATAAATCAAATTTGAACATAGTTTAACTCGTTTATAAATATTTATGAACTAACTTGTTTGTTGTTCAATAAGTAATTTGTTAAATGGTCTATAGCTATATATTATATTACTTACATAAAATTTGATTAACTAAAATTTATTTAATTATATTTTTAATAATAATATATTATAATTTAATAACAATATGTATATAAATTTAATGCATTTTTTCTTATTATTTATTTCAATCAACTAATTTGCTAAAATTTAATTATTTTTTGATTGAAAGAACTTATATACTATTTCATTTACTTGGTGTACATTAGTTAAATACTAATTTAAAATTTATTCAACTGTTTATTTCTTTAAATTTATAAATTTAAATTTTTTTATGTGATATGGAAGACATGAATGCCATAAATGTAAAACGGAAAATCTAGGTTTTAGATTTGTAAATACATAGAAATTATGTGGCATGCATTTAAATGTCTGTTTACTATTCAGTGACTGCTATTGCAGAAGCCTTTTTTCTTTTTTCTTCTTTACAGAATTTAAAAAAAAAAATTTCTTTATGCATTTCCATAGAGATGAATATCTTAGGAGTTCGGATTTAGATTTAATATCAAAATTTTTTTACTTTAAATCAACAAGTAATTAACCAAAAGAATAAACTTCAGTTTGATGCGATTGTCCTGTCAATTTCGATCTTGCTGTATTTAAATAAGTTATATAATTCCACTAGATTCGGGACAAATGTAAGTATAAATGTAAATGAAATCATCACTTTACCAAAGTGACATTTAAAGTTTTAAATTGCATTCCTTAATTCTATTCCATTAAAATAAATTTTATAATAAATTTGCTCAGTATTCTTAATTTTGATATAAATATCACAGAACAAGAATCTAATGTACAATGAGAATCTGATTAGCTGACAGGTAAGTCAATAAAACGAGAGGACCCCATGAAATCGAATTACAAGCCAGATCGTGTATACATCGAAAAATAAAACATAAAATGTATATGATAACACCAGTACTTTTCCAAGTACAAGAGAGTATTGAAACTGAAAAGTTATCAGTTGAAATCTCATAATATCAAATGCGAATAAAACCAGATTATGGGTATGAAGTGGAACCATAATATTGGCAGTATTATAAGCACCAACAGAGCCCATCAGATAGAAATGTCCAACCCCCAACCGCATTCAGTACGTGATTAATTTCATAGCCGTAGCAGCATTTATAAGCACCATTTTTTAGGACAGAGACATGATGCAGACCATATTTAATTGCTGCAAATCTACCATGCCTCCATGCACCACGTACATCAAATTAGAGCATGAAGAATCTGTAATCTTCTGTCAGTACTCTTTTTCATAAAAACTGCAAAATATGGTCTGCGGACCATGCTCTATAGAAAAACTTGATCACTGCATGCTCCAGTAATCTTCCCATGTCCAAAAAGCAGAATAAGTAAAACATCTGCATAACAACTCCTTCAAAGCATCCAACAAGAGTTAAAACGAGTGAGAACGTGATGAGGCACGGGAATTGCAGAGACAACAAACCAAGTTTAACTGCAACTCGAGAACAGTAAACTTTGGACTTCAATCCCGCCTTACAACTTTGGCAGCATTCAGAAAGAATGAACGAATGAAAAAAGAGAAATAATAAAACTAATTCCAAGTAACTGAGATAAGGCTGATGATGATGATGCTGATAAGACTTCAAACACAAACTTGGGAGTTGTCGGAATATGAAAAAGCAGCTTCACCTTAAGGTTGTGTTCCAAAAGCTTCAGAAGTATAGAATTGATTTACAATGAAGGCAAGGCATAATATCACATAAACCACTCTAGGTTTGTCAGAAAATGCAGAAACAGCTTCAAAATAGGAGATGTTCAAATGCTGAAAATCGTGTAGAAATGCCTCCAATAAAGGTGGGCAAAACATCAAATAACCTTCCATTCCTTCAACTTAGTTTTCTTCTATTTCCAAATGTCATTTTAGCATCCCACTTTTTCTTCTCCTTTCTTCACCAGTGGTTTGGGTAAAGATATATAGCACAAATAATGCTCCAAGAGCTTAAACTCATTGTAGAGCTGGCCTAACAGTTCTTTTTTTTTTCTCAAATGCCGTTTCTAGCATAATTCCGTTATTCATCTTCACTTCTTGGTTAGTGTCGCATCATATATAACAAGAATCACAAATTATGCTCCAACACAGCTTGTAACTAGCAACAAACATAAAGTTTACACTATCTGCATCATCACAGACCTATAGCCCAGTTCCACAGCAGCATTGCCAGCAAAATAGAAACAAGTACAATGCCGCATAGAAATTTCCAGTTGGCATTGGCTCATTTCTCAAATATATATTCACTTGGAGAAGTATTCTTCCAGCAGGCCGAGCAGACAAATTCAAGACAAAATGTCTCCACATATTCACAGTTGCCAATACACCGACCACATTGTAGACACCTTGGAATGCAAGTATCACATGCCCTGCAATGTTCCGGGCCTTTGCTACGGCAGCTTTCTAAAGAACAATCAAAAACAAGCCTGCACTTCTGACAAATAGGACAGATCTCAATATCAATGGGACAACCTTCCTCATCATCACAAGCTAGTGATGAGACGCTGTTGTGATAGAACTTTAGTTTCCGAGCTTTTGCTCGGCATAGTTCATCTGCGCCTACTAAAAACCTTAATTCATCAAACTGTTCTGGAGATGCAATGAATAGCCTACCAAGTTTTATGGTCTTCAGACCAGGCATCCCTGATAACTTGAGAGGCTTCAGGCTATTTATGAGGCCCTCCACACTCAGCCTCAGACACCCATGTATGCTTAACTGCATCAAAAAAATTAAATGAGAATGACATTTTCTTTTTCCAACAGTAGTAACCAAGTTAAAACTCATATTTGAAAGATATTTTTATCATTAAATTAAAATACATTAAAAATTAAATGAGTAAGGCTCGTTGAGTAGAACTACAGGCATAATAAAAAGAACATAACAGATTCTAGTCAACAAAGAGATTCACTAACCGATTAAGCACATTTAAAAATAGATTAAAAATGAAAACAGAAAGGCACAAATGAAGTAAACTTCAAGACATACTTGAAAGACAATAACAGATGATAGTCAAAAATAGATTTGCTAACATATTAAACCCATTTGAAAACTTTGACCAAGAATAACCATCCATAATGTAATACCTTTTTAGTTCTACAAGTAGGAACCTAAACAAGCTTAACTATGACATTTGGGAGTAAAGAATGCACATTGGATCAACCTGGAAAGAACATTCAAGTGAAATCAAATGTCATCCATGAGCTGCAGCATAATTTTAAGAACCCTTTTGTCCTAGAATAATATAGAACGAAGTGTTAATACAACAAAACAATATATTATGATCTTAAGACATTCAATTTAACAAAATATGAAAAAAAGGTATTTAAAACAATTCTGGGGCCAGCATCAAGCTTACAAGTGCTGAACAGATAATGCTTGAGCCACTTCACTTAAAATCAAGCAAGATAAAAAAGCAACTGCCAGCACCTGGGCCAGATTACCCTCAGTCTATCCAAAAGAATTACAGAACCAAAATAAAGCCCACTCAATAATCACAAGTAATTAAAAATAACAAGTTACCAAAGAATGGCCACTATCATGCGCTACATCATGCATAATGGAGAAAACCCACCCACACAACTCCCACTCTTTTCACTAGTGGGTGAGCACACAGGCAAAAGCATGCATGCCTTCCACAATGATATGTTTTAAAGTAGGGGTGCATGTGCATGAATGCATAGTTTTCATTGCGACTTCTAAACAAGTGTGTATCAGTATTTTTATGTTCAGGAGAATAAGAAGAGTGTGTGTGGGCGTGTGCACACCCATCTTGATTAGAATATTTGGGAGCAAGTTTAATATCACTAGGACAGATAGGCTACCTGATATTTATACCTGAAACCTGTAACAATGAAAACAGGTCGGACAACCAAATAGAAAAAGAGAACAAAAACTTTGATGTGAAAGTTCAATGAGCTCAAAATAAAAACAGAAAAAAGAGATAAGAGTATGCTCAAAAAAATAAGAACTTTGGTCAGATTTTAGCAGGCAGATTGAGAAAAGAATAGTTTGCAGCTCCCAACAAATTTCACCAACTTTAAGGACTTTGTATTAAAATGCCAGAGCAGCACATAACAAAAGCTCACATGTTTGCTAACCTCTCCTAACCATGAAAAAGAGGGACTCTAATTAAGGATAACCTGAGGCACTATTTTTAATTCTGGACCTATCCTAATCTTCTTAAATGCAAATTTCCGCCCTATTTTTGTGTGTGGGTGTTTGGGAGTTGAGAGTAAAAACTCAATTAATATCCCAAGTTTTCCCTCTTTGATATGGTTTGTCACAATCAGGGTTCCCACATCCACTACAGGCCACACTGGATAGGGATAAACAAGTTATTAAGGCCATTTTTTGTCAAAGATGGACTGACATGTCGATTCTATCAACTAGACCAAGAGGCTTAAAAGCATAAGTGGCATGGCCGCTGTGGAACTGATCAAATTTACATTATGAGCTATATATCAATTAAGGTAATATTTTAGGTATAGCAACTCATTAAAAACCAATTCCCAATCCTTACCAACTCAAAGTTACAAATCATGCCCAACTTTATTGCATAGATGTGAAATGGTTTCTTACAAGAAGTCCTTGACATGTTTTTAAGGAGATGGGAGGTGGGCGGCAGCTCAAACTATGTATGCAGCAATTATTTTAACCTTCTTTAAATAAGTTTTTTTCTTTTTCTTTTTTTAATTTTTTTTGCTAGTTTGTATTTTTCTTAACCTCAAGCACAAAGCAATTTTTAGGTCACCACGATAGGCTTGGAGAACTTCTTTAGATAAGTGGCATTGGACCCAAGATGGCATTCGTTTCTAACCATCTGTAACTTTTTTAAAAGCATTTTGTGCTTGAAAAGCAAAAGAGGGGCTTAATTTTCTAGCAAGCATCTGTACCATAGAATGGACTCTAAAATAGTTCAACACTTTGTTTTAACCTTTTAAAAGTACTTGAGCATACTTTTTTTCCAAAGCTAGCATCAAACTATAGGACCATTGGAGCACTCATTAATGTAGTATCAAGTGATCCCCATCAATTAATAGGTGGAATTGATTTCAATTAAAGTGACCTTAAAGCCTCCTAACATAGGATTAGACTCTTTCAAAATATGGGGTTTAAGTATTTCTCTTTAGATAAAACAATCACCTTTACTAAGGTCAACCTTTAGGACTTTGTTACATTGCTCGATATTTCGCAGTAACCTAACATTACTGGTTTATCATGTTTAAAATGCCTCCAAGCTATTCTTTTGCTGTCTGTCATGCAAATTAAGGCACCAAAATTAACATTGCCATGGGATTTGCTAATTTCAACAACCAAATGCAAGTGAACTCCCAAGATAGCTAAATAATTGGAAGCAACTGAACGTTAAAATTTGCATCATTTGATCAATTTCAATCAATAAAAAATGTATTAGAGGAATAATTATCTTTATAAGGTTTTAAGTAACGAGATATGCTTTAAGATGTTATTTCACTGATGAGAATACTATTATCATTTCTTGAAGACAAAACACATGATATAGACTATTATGTATTCTCTCTTTATACCCTTCTATTTTATATGGATTTATAACATTTCGTCATATTAAGAATCCAAGTTTTTTTTTTTTCTCTTTATACCCTTCTATTTTATATGGATTTATAAAATTTCTTCATATCAAGAATTCAAGTTTTTTTTTTCTTTTTTTTGAAATTACATTACTTTTTTATTGTGTTGCAATACCCTTCGAAGTATTAGGGCATTTTTTAACTTTTAAGAGATTTTTATTCGTTTTTTTAATTCATTGGGATTTAAAAACAAACATTCTAACATTCTAAATTTTTTTTTTTTAAGATTTTTATGTAAATTTCTATAATCTACAAAAATTAACATGATTCTAAAAAAAGTACAAGGTCTTTTCCATAAATTTGCCATAACAGGCAGACAAGGGGATTGCTAAGGCATCGACCAGGACTAGATGATATGGCATACCAAGTAAACGATGAGTAATTTTGGTCCCCTTGTTGATATGGCATACTAATGTAGCATGTTGTATTGAACTACAATAGCCAAGAGGAGCACAGCATAAACAATGATAAGTCTGATTGGTGGCGTCAACAGAATCACCAAATGTCAAACTCTCTAGATGAGTGATACATCAACTACAATTCTAAGGTTGATATGGATATATGCTTAGCAATGCTCTTGAAAAATAAAAAATAATGCATGATTACAACAATGCATGATAATATTGAATTGACAAATGGGCTGGCCCATCAATTATGTGACTACTTTCAACAAACAAAAATACCATTAAATTTAGATTACCCCAATCAATTTACCATCCAAGTAAAAATAAATTTGAGTAGAGAAGATTTACATGCGTTGCCAATCCAAGATTAATAATCTCAAATAAATGGCAATGCAATAACCTAACTCAAAAATGGGTATCACTATAGTATTAAGAATCTAATTGATGCTCCCTTTTCCTCTTCTCACACTATCATGCACACAATCCATCATTCTTCTTCAATGATGAGCCTAGGAGAAAATAAGAGAAATTTCCATATTCATGTTATTGGTTCAATCAAAAAAACATACATAGTATGGAAAGACAGTGACAATGGAGATGTAGACATAAGTATTTGGAAGACCATGTCAAACAATAAACCTAAGTTCAAACACCGATTTTTATGACACCTCATTGCTAAAATCCAACGCATTTAGAGACCCCCCCTCCCCCCCCTCCCTTAATAACATCAATTGTTGGCCTTCCATGTAGCAAGATGCCAAGTCTAGCATCGATCAATTAGCTATTATTACTAATTTGGTATTTTCTAGTAGGCTTTTGGACTCATAGATTAGAGATTTCTTTCTTCCAGACTAACCTTATCCTCATTTCTTCACGACAACTATAAAGGGGTGGATGCTAAGGTAGGCTTTTGGACTCATAGATTAGAGATTTCTTTCTTCCAGACTAACCTTATCCTCATTTCTTCACTACAACTATAAAGGGGTGGATGCTACCAAGTAATAATCCCTTCACAACTCATGATTCCAATTATATCAATGGTGAAAAAACTTTAGCCTTTCTTATATGCTATTTTGACAGGTTCATTGTTTTTCTTAAAGGTTCGAATGTTGGGCTGCAGTTTATTTATAACTTATAAATAACATTTGCCTTGTTCTGCATCATACAAATTATCCCAAGCATGTTTAGTTTGTTGCCTCCCAGGGTTCAATAATGACAACTTCTTGTTTATTTGGCCTAAGAATTTGTTCATTTACTTATCTGTGATAAATAAAATTGTGCAAGAAATTTATTGACTAGTAAAACTACTTGGTGTTTCAAGCTGTGTATTATTTTTAAAGTAGTGATTACAATTTTGCATAAATCATGACTGGTTTTGAATTTGTAATATATGAGTTAGCATATGGGTCTCATTTGCACAAAAAACCTTTTTTAATTAGCTACATGACAAAAAAGTACTCATATGCTACTCATGCTTCATTTCTGTAGGTAGCATTTAACAACAACAATAATAACCCCTATCATATGGAAAGCAAAAAAGCTCAAAGCAATGCAAACAAGCTTCAGCACATTCCTTCTTCGTTCCTTTAGCTAATGAAATATAGCAATAACCAATTAATGGAATATAGCAATAAACAATTATTGGAATATAGCAATAACCAATAAGTAACTTCATTGGGCAAACATTGAATTGTTCGGCAATGATAGATTAAAAGGCTGATGTAGCAAATTACATATAACTTCAGTAGACTTTTATTCTTTAGTTCAGGCATGATCGATCAAAAAGTTATTAGTTTCCAATCAAGTCTTTATTCAATATTATCAGTTTTTGATGAGTTGAATTACCATCAAAGATGAGCACATTAGCTGTGTATCACGATTATCTAACCAATGGATACTTCTTATCATGTTTCTCGTATTTTGGGGCGATCATGTGTTTGAAAATATTTTATTATTATTTATAGAATCAATTAGTTGAAAATATAAATTGAACTAACGTTTGTGAAGTTCAATAAAGTCAATTATGGATCAAATCTGCATGCTAATTACTACCCAGCATGAACGCCCATAATTACAGAAAGATTAAAATCAATATTTGTTTAAATGACGCATAACTGCATGCTATCAATGTGAGATTGCGCACTACTTTTTCTTTGTATTACCTATTTCTAGTACTTCGTAACATTGGGAGATGTTGGGGAAGTTCTGCTCAACCAACCTCAACTTTAACAAGCCCGATGAATTTGTGAAGTCCAACTTAAAAGCATTTGAAATCTTGAACACTTGTACCTTATTTTTACAGCAATTTCAGCCTTCTAAATGTGACGGTAATATCATTGACATCAGATGACTTCATCAATCTAGGCTCTACCATGACTTTCGTTTGTGTGAACCTACAACCAAAAATGTCAAAGGCCACAAATGCACGGTGACACTAATAAAGATGGGCTCCTGACCAATAAAGAATGGCCGATGATAGAAGCCTCCTTGACTTGAGCTCTACAAGAATTAAAGAAATGCATGTGAAGGAATCATCAATGCTGCTAAGGCAAAGTAAAAGAAAGATGCAGGAACCTCCATAGAGCATAAAACTTCATTGGAAAAGTGATTGCTATGACTGATTTGGCTGTAATACTTTGATGTACCTCCCTACACTTTCAGTAAGTCTCCACAATTCTGGTATTTTTAATAGATGGAGAGGAACTCCGCCTCATCACTTGGCTATATAGGATTAAATCTAAGTGGATAGGGTTGGAACTTATGGTTGTTTAAACCAGTTGGATGAGCCCACAAAATAAAGACAGAATTTAAAATGCTTTTAGATAGCCAGATCAATCTTATTTAAGTTTATATATAATTACATATCACATTTAGAATTTTATCAAGAAGAGCACATAATTGGATTTCCAAGTGAGCGTAATTAAATGCTTCTGAGCCTTTTCTTTTTCTTTTCCTTTCTGATTCAGTTAAACAAGAACTATGAATCAAATGGAATTTCCTGAATGCAATCATTTGAAAAATTTTAGCATGAACCTCTTCTAAAGATTTCATTTCAGGCCAACCAAACTAGGTCCACAACTACATTTGTGTTTTAATGAGTGGGAAAAATGGGAACCACATAATCTTGATGATAAAAGGTGTTAGATAGAAAGCAAAAAATATGATTAGTCTGCATAAAACATACCAAAAGATTCTATAAGCTGTGTCAAAATTGAACTTCCTATAGAAAAAAAATTTAAGCAGGATGAAATATATCACAGAAGGCAACCTTTTTGAGCCTCAGATTTCCACTCAGCACCCGCCTGAGGCCAGCATCAGTGATCATTGAGGATCTCATCAAACTCAGACATTGCAGGCTTCCTTGGGCCCTCTCTGTCAACTGATAAAGAGCATCATCAGTTATTTTCTCACTCAATGGAGAATCAATGTGGATGTGTCTCCATAACAGGGTGTCGTTCTGGACAGCAAAATGCAATGACCTGCAAACTCTTTCAACGGAAAGAAGATCTTGGACGCCCAAATATCCAAGGGATAAGAACAGTCCCTCATGTATGAAACTCCCATCTTTATCAGAATGAAAAGCATCGCTTGTAGTAACAGGAGCTTCCTCCACAACCCCAAAACTTTCACCTCCGGTAACATCAAGTACTAGTCCTGAGAAGCTCTTGTTACAGAAATCAACAACATAACTTCCAGGATTCAATTGAGTCTCAAAAGAAGACAAAAGAGCCTTTTTCCAATAGTAACTCAAGACAGCAACAATAGCATCACCATCCATGAGATAATCATCATTATTAGTTTCAATCCATTCTGCAATAGTTTCAGATATTTTGGTGCCCAAATCTATCTCCAATAAAGTACTGTCCAGATTCATCTCAAATGGATCCACCGGCAAAAGGTCTGTGGGATCATAAGCACATTTGCCTTCATGCGATTTCTCATCCCTGCCAAAGCCTCCATCGTCATGAACATTGATATCCCAGTTCCGCCAGTCATGAAAGAAGAAGCTTTTGCACTTCTCATGCATCATGGTGATGTAGCTCAAGAGAAGGCACTAAGATTGGGGGTGTTGGAATTACAGGCTGTTTTGTCCCAGGTCTTTCAGAGAATACCTTTGAAAAAATAGAGTATTCTGCAACAACAACAACAATAAAATTGTTATACAAATGCTTAGCATTGAAGTGAACTCTTGGACCATATAAGATACTAAAAAAATCCAGTAAACAGCCTAACATCTTTGTTGTATCTTTTAAAATCATCTATCATTTTTCAAGTCAATTTTAGTAATATGCTCTACTGCAAACTCTGATCCAAATACTTTTTTTTTTCTAGCAATCATAGAACCAACAAAAGAAAAGATAGCAATGCATTTAAAGGAACTTAAACTCAATTTCCTTTAAAAGAATTAAATCTGCAAATGAAATAGAATAAGAGATAAATATGTTGATTATTTTAAAAATGATTAAAGTATAGATGAGGCCCTTATGGATCTTGAACACCATGAAATATTTAAATTATAAATGAATTTTTACTAAGAATCACATTTCAAACTTATATTAATATTTAAGATTAAGATTTATGGTTTATGTCTTTATGGTAATAAATTTAATAAATATTTCAATAGTTTTTCATATTTATAAATCATTTTTAATGGTAAGTGCTTTTTCTCTTCCTTGAGGCTTACGTCCGCCTTGCATATATATTTCTTTTCTTTTTTTTTTAGAAAGCCCAAGGGCTAATATATTAATCAGAAGGAAAGATACATATAGATTGTATAAGAGGGTCCAAGCATGATACCCTACCCACACGGTAAACAACACATGCAAATGGTTCCAGAAAAAAAAGAAAAAACAGAAAATTACATATATACATATACAAAAAAAGAAAATACATAAAATAAGATAAACACCCCAGCCTTGCACGCGCGCGCACACACAGATCTATATATATATATATATACTCTCTTTGGAGACATCTGATAAAATTGGAACTATACATAGAAGATTAGCATGGCCCCTGCGCAATATATATAAACAAATAACATATATAAATATATATATGTAAACAATGTAACAATTTTACATTTTTTTTTAATTAATTGACAATTTTAGAATGATTTTCTATCTATGGATTATGTTGTTTTTCTAATCTATTATAAAACATGACAGCATTTATAGTAATAAACATTTATAATAATATCTTTATAATAATCAATTATATAATTGAGCGAACCAAGAAAACTCTGTAATTGACGGAGATCAGTAATTTCATCTAAAAATTTAGAAACGAATTCGATCTCTTTATATTGACACAATTGTATTTCGGACAATATTATGTCCCAAAAATCTTATTTCGGTTTGAAATAATTTGATTTTTGTGCAAAAATTACCAGACCATTGCCCTTGATAAGTCATTACAATGTTTGTAAATAATTAAAATGTTCCTCAAGTGATTTAAGGAAAACAAGAACATCGATGTAATAAACAGAATATGAAATAAAAATTTCATTCATTATTTGTTGAAATTCAGAAGAAACATTTTTTAATCTGAATGGTATAACATTCCATTCATAGTGACCAAATAAAACAGTAAAAAACATTTTATATCTGTCAGACTCAACGATTTGAATCTATCAGTATCCATATTTTAAATGGAAATCCAAAAAAGATATTTGAGCACAAATGTCTATACTTAAGATAGTCTTAATTGTGAATCATATAAGAAAATTCTCACTTCATTACAATGTGTTGAAATTCAAAACAATTATAATGAGAATAAAACAATTGTTTATAGCAAGACGACAATTAATCGCATCTTGCACCATAAAAAATAGAGTTTAACTCCTTTTCCAAAATAAACAAGTTAAATTTATTCATCATATAACTAATTAAAAAAATTAATTTATTTTAATTATTGTACCTATGTCCAAACTATGAATCATGCTTTTTTAGTTATTAATCCAAGGCATGAGCATTATTGGCTCTTCGTGTTAATGTCTGAAATTTTAAATAAAGAAATACCAATTTGATTTTTAGCATATTGAAACAAATTTGACACCACCAATGAAATCCTTCTGGAAGCAATCACTAATCTCTATCCAGCCTGAACTTAATCTTATCCATAACTCGACAAAATAAAAAATGATTTTCTAACAAACGGTATGTGTGAACTGCTCTTCTTCTGTTAGACACAAATATCTTGGATCTTCGTTTGGAATCCTTGTCATCAACAAGACAGCATTAATAACAAATCTTTATGACGAACCTTCTTCATCAAAAGGTGGTCTGCAATTATTGTCGGTGACAAAGTAATTCAAATTAAAAAAGTCATCACATCCAATGTTTCCATTATTCCAGAACCAAAATCTCAAGAGTTCTCCCTAAAAGGAATGCATGACCAGACTAAGCGAAAATATCCTCGCTTCATCAAAAGGTGGTCTGCAATTATTGTCGGTGACGAAGTAATTCAAATTAAAAAAAGTCATCACATCCAATGTTTTCGTTATTCTAGAACCAAAATCTCAAGAGTTCTCCCTAAAAGAAATACATGACAGACTAAGCGAAAATATCCTCGTGAATCCCCAGAGCAAATCAAGCAACAAATACAAAGGCTTTATCAAAAACAAATGAAAGAATTATTAGAATCAGAAAACAACATGTTAGTCTCCAATAGTGATTCAAACGACAAAGACAATTGGGAGCAAATGGTGACCCACCTCGGCTCAAATTGACCAAATCAAGATAAAAACAACTTAAAGTGAACCCTCAATGAGGTCACTTCAGAGAAATATTATGGGCAATAATTTTGATGGTTGAAATAGTATCGATTGGTGAAATTTTGATAGCAATAATATCGGTTGATGTAATAGTGTCTGCAATTATTTTTAATTTTATGTCACATCAAATAGATATGTTATCTGTTATTAAGTTGTAATGTATTAAGTTTGGAGTCCGTCCTCAACTATAAATAATGGCATGTTTTATTTGTTATGAAAGATTTGGATGGTAGGAATGTAAAAAAGTAGAGTTTAGGAGTTAAAAACATGAATACATAGGAGTTGGGTTGTAAGTAGGCAAATGCCCCAAAAAGATAACAGCAACCAATGCATTGGTGCAACACAACAGTCATTTCAAATCAAAATAACTATCCTGCTTGAAGCAATGCACCAGAATAAAAATGGAAACCTGCTAAATTTTATTGGTATAATCAACAAGAACTAACCCAGTAAAGAAATTAACAAAAAGCAAAGTGTTAATTGCTCAAAATAAATACTTTATGATCCATAAAAAAATTGCGGTAAAAAAAAGGGTCATTAAAATGAACAAATCTCCAAAACAAACAAAGCACCAAACCTTAAAGTAACATAAATACATGATACAACAAAAATAAAAACATCCTGACGACCAACACAACATAAAAAGGGAAAACTATGTAAATCTAAGCATAAAAAGGGCATCTAAACATCAATAACAGCCTCGCTAAACTTCCAAGCATTTCTTCTGTCGAATTGCTTTCCATATCCCCTCTCCTCAAATCAAACCCATCTATTTATCTAATTCTAAATACTCCTCATCCAATCCAACCCAGTGTTTACCAAAATCATGTGAAAGGAAATTACCTGATGCCAGAGGCTGAGAATTCGCCGGACAAGCCCTGGTTCACAACCAAGAAGAAAATAAGGGGAACCACGGCAAAAGAGGAACAACGTGATTGTAACGCGAACACACGCTAGATATGAACACCGTAGAAAATATCCAGATTCAAGAGTATATATGAGCGTTCGAAGGAGAAGTTCTAATCGTGATAACGCTGGGGAGCGAACATTTGATGACGAGCTGAAAACAAAAAAAAAAAAAACAGGAAGAGAAATGGAGAGAGCGGTGAGGTTATAGAGTGCGAACTGTGCGGCACAGCGGCTCCCCTGTGCAGGGTTGCGGGTTTAGAATAGGTTTTTGAGTGGAAATCGCCTAAATCAATGGAGGTGAGAAATCGCCGTAGAAACCCTCGGGCACAACAAGGAGGATGATAAGACGGGGAATCAAAATGAGAGATCAACAAACGTGCTTGTTTTGCAAACAAGCACACCGGCAATGGATTAAAGAAAAAGTTATTCAGATTCCAAATAAGGAAGAAACCCTAACCGTGCTCAACACGAGGAGAGACGAGTGACCGCCAAGCACGAGGGTAAAGCAAGAAGAAGAGGATAAGATCGGTTACAAGAAAGGTAAGTACGAGCCGAGCGGCTTAGTTTCTCGGTGTCGAAGGTATAAAATAACAGAAATCACGAGATCGCCGAAGCCAAGATCTCGCCGGAGAAACCCACGCACACAACCGAACGGATTAAAATACGATAAATCAAGATACCGAGATGTCTGAAAACACACAACGGAGATAATCACCAAAGAAGATAACCGTATTCCAGATAGGATCTGCTCGTCGGAGAGGGAAGAAACCCTATCCGTGCCAAGAAATTCAGCGGAGGCGAGAAGATCGGTATGACGTGGGAAAGACGAGGTCTTTATTAGAACGCGATAAATTTTTCCGCGGTCTTAAAAGTTTTGGTGGGAAGGAGAGGTGAAAATTGTAAGCGGGATTGGGCGTTGGCGCATGGCTGCGCGGTAGCGTGCGCTTTAGGTTGTGCGGTCGGGGTGGCTGCACATCTTATGCACCATATAGATGGACGGGTGCTGTACGACGCGATTTGAAGACATTGATTTGCGTTAATAGTCGAATTCATTGAGATTTAATAAATTGTTGGCTACGTATGCCTGCTCTTACTTTGTGGCGAAGATTGCGGCTGGGAGAGGGAATAATGTTCGAACATAATTTTAAAAATTATGTAGTATTTGAGTAATTAGCTTACTTTATATTATATATATATATATTTCATATATTTGCATGAATTATATAATAAATAATAAATTTAAGACGACAAAGCATGAGCATTCCATAATTCCTATTTCACAAATGACTTCGCGCACCTTTAATTTTTTGAAAATAAAAAATGTATTCAAAAGTTTTTTCTTCTTTTAATAAGAAAAAAATTATTTTTAAAGAATTTTGAGATCTATTGTGATTAAAATAAATGTTAATTATTTAGTTATACCAAAGAAAATGATAATTTTATTATTATTCAAAATTTTATTTTTCTTTTTTTGTTTTAATTTCAAACAATCAAATGAGTGCTTCTATCAAATTTAAAGTATTCACTATGGCTAAAGGGATGTTTGGGATCATTTTCTGTTTTATTTTTATTTTTATTTTTATTTTTAGTTTGTTTTAAAAAAAAATTCAAAAAACATATTCGGTACTATTGTGATTTTGTGTTTTTATAAATAAAACATAAAACATAGTTGGTATTCATATGAAATTTTATCTTTTTAAAATGAAAAAATAATGTAATTTAAAAGGAAATAAATTGTATGAGTAGTCTGCAATGATTTATATATATTTTTTATGTAGTTTATATCATTGAGATTGAAGAATCAAACTTATGTCATACAATAAACTTTATAACTTCTTATTACAACAAAAAAAAAAATCGAATTTAACTAGAAATATGTCCTTCGAAAATTAATTTAGCATGGTTTTTATTTTACATTAGCCTTTTTATAAATGTTCCAATTGGTTAGGGACTATGTACAACATAAATGTGATTGCATTAATCTCGAGAACATTCAACGAATCACACGGAGAAAGTAGTAAGGAATTGAGCTATCCAACATTAATTCGGCCAGTCGAATCATGGGTCGACCAAATGAAAGTTCTTCTAAACTAAAGAACGTCACACACCTAAACCGACTACAACTAATGCAAATGCATTCACAAGATCAACGATGGTTCAACAAAATTTTCACCTGATCTTCTATGAAGATTTATCGACCAAAGGAAGGCTGTCTGTAAGATTACGGTGATGCATTCTCTGTCTGATGGAAAAACTCTTCCTGCGAACAATGAGTCTTCATGTTGGATTCCCTCGAAAAAGTTGAAAAAAAATATTTCGGTCAACCAAATGACTTTTGGTCAACCAAACAAAGATCATACGATCAAGTCGAATAGATGTGAATATCAAATAATGTCAATGACAGTTATAAATACGAAATGACTCCAGCATCGGTTACCAATATCAAAAGATATCAAAATCAGTTACAAATATATAAATTTGTGATGACTCATAATTCATTGTAATGTTCTCATTAAGTGATGAACAATCATGTAATTTACTAAACTCCCCCTGTGACCTATAAATAGAGAGGTCATTTTTGCAGAAATGACTACAGAATCTATGTCCAGAGAATTAACATTACTTGTGACTTATTTTTTCTTCTCTTTCTCTAACTTCCCCCTATTCCTCCCATCCGACCAGCGCACTATTCCTTAGGTGTGACCCAAAGAACATTTTGAGATTCAATATCACAAAAGGTTCGGTGAGCATGGAGTCGTGCATTCAATAAGAAGAGAAACGCGTCACAAAGAAGGAACACACGTTAGAGAAATTTCTAATATGGAGTCTGTTAGAGAATTCACATAGCAGTGAATTTAGAAGCTTAAAGGCCAGATGATGGGTCAGATTGCGGATCTTACCCGCATGGTGCGTGAGAGGAGGGTGCAACCCCTCCCACAACCTAGTCCTCTAACACTCGAGCCCCAAGGTCACCACACGGCCTAAAAATTCAAATGTGTGTAGGAATCCCAGTACCAAGATGGTGTGAGATCCATGCCAAGGAACAAACTACAAGAGTGGTGAATATAAGTGTACTGCAAATTGGGGAAGGTATTATGCTGGCTGATTATTGATGCAGAACCCCTTGAGAAATTCAAGGTTTCATCTTTAGAGCAATACAATGGCTAGAGCAATCTAGCTGATCATATTGTGTCCTTTGAAATGACTATATACCTTCTCAAAGTTTCTGATGCATTGAAATGTTATATATTTTACACCAAGCACAAGGATTCAGCCCTATGGTGGTTCGACAGACTCTCTATTAGAATTATTGCTTCCTTTGAAGCGTTCAAGAAATTAGTTACGGTGCAGTTTTCTATTCCCAAAAGCTCAGTAAGGACTTGAAGTCCATGTCGCGCATTAAGTAGGGATTGAATGAGAACCTATGGGAGTACGTTACACAAATCAAGAAGAAGATGCATGAAGTACAAAATCTGGAGTCTGTGATTGCGAAGTTCATTTTGGCACAAGGGTTGAAGAGCCCTCAGTTTAAGTATTTCCTAGGTTTAAGAAAACTCAAAACTTTGGCCAAACTCTGGCAGTTGGCTAAAAACCACATTACAGTAGAGGAGTATGTGAACAAACATGTCTTGAAGAAGTCCGATTGTCAGTCAGGCAAAAAATACTTACAAAACGACGGGTGGAGGGAGAAGTATGGACCTCGTCCTAAGTATGAAAGAGGATGATATTCTCGCAGGGACAAGGAGGCTGACCGAAACACACAAAGATGTGTTGACCTAATTTTTTGCGAGGTCAAACTTCTTCTCTAGGAGCCTAGGATCTAACCATAGGATTTCTCTATAGACTCTCCTAGAATACTAGACCGAGACTCACACCATTTAGAAATTCGCACTGCTTCTTGACTCCTTGTAGTCTCAAATGTATGGTTTTAAATCATCGACATTTAGTAGAGTCGATCGGAACCAACATATTGAAATTCAAGTCAAGTTCCCATAAGGACTGGAAAGTGCCTTTAGGAGACCCTTTAAATATTATGGTTTTTAAATCTTTGAAACAACAACACACACATCCACATACACATATAAATCCACACAATTACACCACCCACAAACACTATGATTCACATACAATCCACTAATCAAAATCAAAAGCCAAATTTAAAATAAAATGAAGGCCCCTGTGACATGGATTTGAGACATTTCGACATGAGTTGAAAGAATAGTAGTTGAGAGAATTATGCTAGACTTTGGTCGTAGCTTAGGTAAGGATCGATCGACATTATGCTTGTCGAACAATTTTGATCTGATCAATGAATATTATTTGTCATGTTATGTACGTATCGAACTTGAATTGGCTCGATCATCAACAAACTTATCCAGACTATCTCAGATGATGAAACAGGTCGCGCGAGCGCATTTGGAATGTCAATTTTTCTCAAGGAGGATAACCATTTTGTTATGGTTCCGTGCATGAGCAAATTGCATGAGAATTGATGCATAAATAATAATAATAATAATAATAAGAATATTTAAAAAAAATGCCTATTTAAACTCACGTACACATGTTAATAATAATAATAATAATAATAATAATATTTAAAAAAATGCCTATTTAAACTCACGTACACATGAAGGAAATGTTGGAATGGAGAAACTTTTAGGAAATGACAAAGGCTAAAAACACAACTTATGGAAGAAGCTTCACTCTTATTTAACACCTTTACTTGGCTTGATACAAACTCAAAGACTCCACCCCTATTCATACTAGTGGCACCTCCTAAATTAATGGCTAAGATTGTGCCACCACAATTCCAA